CTGCCTCTGCTCAGGCTCAAAGATGTTGTTTTCTATGCGCCTAGCTTTAACTGTCCTCCGTGGGAAGTACCTGGCAACAGATACATGTGGCAGGCTTCTGCCTGGACACGTCTGTACCCCCCCCCCCACTCCTTCTGACTCGACAACCATGCAGTGTAAGAACTGCAGTATCCACGGTGTTGAAGGGGACGGAGTCAGTTTTGGGTAGCTAAACGATGCAGAGGGGAATCATTCAGATCGGAAGCTACTTTTAAAACTTTTCGTCTTTCAAAAAAAAAAAGAAGAAAAATGACATATAAAATATTTAAACATAACAGATGTTCTCTTTTTTTTTCCCCTTGCAGGGCTTTCCAAAGAAACAGTCTTTCTGAACATGTGGTGATCTTCGCAACCAAACCCACAGCACAACGCACAACGCTTGGAAGTGTCAGTCTCGTCCATTATTTTGCATCAGCATCAGCTACTGACATGGCACATCCATACGAGCCCTGGCTACGGACAGCCCCTCCAAGTGGCAATGCAGAGGACATGAACATCCCCCCCTGGTGGGACCTTCACAGAGATGTCCAAGCCGGGAGCTGGATAGATCTGCAGACAGGCCAGGGTGTAGGTCTGCCTGGAGTGAATCCAGGGACATCCATGGGTTTGCAGCCCTCATTAGGGGCTTACAGCTCTGACCCGCAGCTGTGCACCCTGCCCTCTGCTCAACATGTTCAGCCTACACACTCACCTCACCTCTTCCCCCAGGATAGCTTCAAGATGGAACCACTTGCCCCAGAAATGCTGCCGCAGGAGTCATTTTCCCTGGAGGAACCTCCGGAAACCTCCGTCTCTGCCCGTCCAAAACCTCAGCGCCGCTCTTCTTCCAGAGGCGCCGGTCAGGCCGTGTGTCGCTGCCCAAATTGTGTGCATGCCGAACAATTGGGTCAGAGCACCGACGACAGCAGGAGGAAACACATGCACAACTGTCATATTCCAGGGTGTGGAAAGGCCTACGCCAAGACGTCACACCTGAAGGCACACCTACGATGGCACAGCGGCGACCGGCCATTCGTCTGCAACTGGCTCTTCTGCGGGAAGAGATTCACACGCTCCGACGAACTGCAGCGCCACTTGCAGACCCACACCGGAGCCAAGAAGTTTAGCTGTGCTTTGTGCCCAAGAGTCTTTATGCGCAACGACCATCTGGCAAAGCACATGCGTACACATGAGTCCCCACCAGGACTTGGGGAGGAGAGGGTGAACGGAGATGTCATGGACAAGGGCTTTGAAGCCTCCAATCCCTCTCAGTCCTCTTCAAACATGTCTGTGTCTGACACCCCGGAGTCACAGATGAAGCTTAAATGTGAGAATGAACCAGAAGTCTCCAGTGTGATGGGGCATTCGGGCTAATTTCACCTGTTAACCATTGGTTTGCAGTTAACGCCGTAGATGTGTCGTAGATTTTCAACGGAATAGAGAAAAGGAAGACGTCTTTACGCCTCTAGACCATGAAGTTTGGATGGAACTGAACGTCCACTGTCCTGTAGGGTTATCAACTGGACGAAGATGCATACATCGTCTAAGCTCATTAAGGGAAAAGTGAGGAAAGGGCAGAACACCGTGCTGAAGTTGTACATCGTGTCACTGTACTGTGAACTGAAACAGTTCCAAGCAGACAGTGACGATATCTTACTTTCTCTGTTTCAGATTGACTTTTGTTGTAGTGCAGCAGCCTACTGAGCGACTATGTGTTGACACACTGGAATTAAAAACGACAGCGTTTACAACAACCTTTTTTTTTTTTTTTCAAGAAGTCAATAGTTGTTTACATGGTGCCACTGAATTGGGCGTGTGTTTACTGGCGCGTGAGTAAGTGTTACGTAAAACAAAGTAAGAGCAAAGACACTATCACTATGCTGTGTTATTGTCCTGTGAGAATAGTATAATATAATATAATATAATATAATATAATATAATATAATAATATAATATCAATGCGGCTCCTGCAGCTGGAAGCAATATCTGCTGTTAGGTAAGAACAGGACGACGAAATTCTACTCGGAGAGGAAATGCTGCCTCTTTGAATTGAATCCTGGTTTCTGTTGAGACATGCTGATGACAACAACCATATCTGGGATAAACACATTTTCCACAGATCCACCCTGTCATCACTTCAAGCAACTGGTGATGAATGAAACTTCCAGCACAAAGCACAACTACATTACATCATCAGTCCCTGCGATGAGAATATATGCAGTACCAGCATGACTGCACTTATTTAGACAGTTTGAAAGTCACTGGCCTGTTGCCATCTCCTGTTATTTTAAAACACAATTTGTATCAACACAAGCCCGCACTGATAAAGCTACGGTGGGCACATTAGCCATAACTTAAACTAACAAAGTAAGATAAATATAGTGAACACAGTTGGTTTCTTTGAACAGCAGCTAAATAGCTGAAAAAAATCACACTGACTTCATGTCAGTCAATATTGATATATGCTCAGTTTCTGCTGGATGTGTCATGAGCCAATGTTTGTATTGAACAACATTATAAATGAAAAAAAAAAAAAAAACGTTTTCTGCTGCCCCATACTGGTCAAATCCTGGAATGGCCTGGGTGATTTTGACATGCATTTGCATTTTAATGCATTTTCAGACATTAGAAATGAGAAACATGTAAACTTGCCCCAATAATTCCTTCGAATTTTTTTACTATGTCCTGTTGCATATTTAATTAAATATTGCTAAGATGATCTAGCTAAAAAAAAAGTTAAGGGCACCAAAAGCTAACTGAATTTTTTTTTTTTTAAACCTAACAGTTGACCAAAGAATTATCCCAGTAAAAAAATATAGAGTGGCTAATAACAATTACAATATCTGATAAAAACGGTCTTGTTTTTTGTGCAGGTCACAATTGAAAGGATAATGCAACAGCGATTGCAATGTAATCTGGTGGTTCTAGCTTTACTAATATATGCATATTATACCAAGGGCCAAATAGAGTTGTACTTGGGACTAGTTGTGTCCCACAGACCTTTAGTTTAATGTGTATTCTAAAAACTCTATCATAAATCAATGATGCGTTCCGTAGAATCAGTTGAGCTGCATAACTTATTTAAATAATCTGCTCTATACACACGATAGTTTTGTAGCAAACAGTTGTTAAACACACATTACTGCTACAACATTATTTTTATTATAGGTGTAATATCTTTGTAGATGTTATTTTAGATAGACTGGTTATATGATCGTTTGTTGTGGTCAGTAGAACAAAACTGTTTTGTTTTTGTTTGTTTTTTAATTACAACTGTGTTTTTTTTTTTTGTTTTTTTTTAAATTACAACTGTAGTAGATGTTTTAGTTTTGGAAATTGTAATAAGTGCGGCCAAATGTTCTAATTATTTAAATATCATGGTGTAGAAACGTTGTATTTAATCTATTGTTGTTCTTGAATAAATAAAATCAAAGCATTCTGTGTTTGTCTATCTGTGCTCCTACTAGAGATTTATCTCAATTTATTAATATTGAGTCAGTTGAGTCTGAAAATATGGGACACTTGGGTGTAGCTGAAGGTCACCCAGGCCAAATTTAGTCTTCATTTATTACATATTCTCTACTTTCTTTCATTTGAATGTCATTTTGGACCACCATCCCTCTAAAGAATAGATAGAATAGAATAGCCATTATTGTCATTGTAACAGGGTGGTACAACGAAATTGAATTTATTCTAAAGGCGCCTAACCATAACCATAAAACAAATGACATGGGTCCATGAACGTGGTCCTCTTGCATGTTTGTGTAAAACAGCTCATGCAAAGCCTCTGTTTTCTCCAGGCATAAGCAAACTACAGCCCGTGGGCTGGATGCGGCCCATTTGGCTTTTTAATCCAGCCCACCAAACCTTTCCAAATGATATTATTAATTTCTATTTTTCCATATTTCCGCTTTTCCCCTGCAATGCCTGCATTTCCGCAATAGATGGCATAGACAAGACCGAAAGCATTATAGCATTTTAGCCTTTACTGACTGACTTTAACATGTCATCTGTTTTAGTTCATAAGAACACTCCATCTGTCTGTTCCTGACCCGGCCCCCGTTAGATTTTAGGACCCATTGTGGCCCGCGAGTCAAAAAGTTTGCCCACGTCTGCCTTAGACTCAGTGCATATTAATTTATGCTTTTACTGCAGGGATTACAGCAGTTGAACACCTGTCAGATGACTACCTCTCTCTCTCTCTCTCTCTCTCTCTCTCTCTCTCTCTCTCAGACATTGCCACACTCTGTCATATTCAGCACCAAAATATGACAGAGCATGGCACTGTTCTGTATATGCTCGTACATTATTGGTGTTGTTAAACAACGGACAGTGTAGATAGTACTTTTTTTGCAAGCAAACTAGAATAAAAGGTGTCACATTTTCATGAAATTAAAGTGAGAGAGGAAAACGGGACACAATCGTCATGATCGAAATACGGGGCGGCCGGTCCAACCTAGGACAGTTGACAACCCTAATGTTGGTGGTGATTATAGATTTTATTATAATTATTAGTAGTAGCGGTAATATTAGTAGTGTTATTGGTTACATTAGTTGTCTAAATGACAGGAAAACAAATACACTCCCTTGAACATTGGGGTTAAAAGCAGAGGCTCAGTTTAGTTGTATCCTCGTGTTACAATGACAATAAAGACCATAAAATACTTTTTTTAAAAAGTAGTAAAGTCTCCTTTCCATATTTCGTTTCTGAATCTTTGTATAATCACGTCTTGTTATTTTATATTTTATTATATTTCTTCGTTTTTATTATAAAAGCATATGGCTGGGTTTAATGGTAAAAAAAAATATATATTTTTATTTTATTTTGTAATATCGATAGCGCACGCTTAAAGGCCTTACACTGAAACCGGAAACGGATTTTAGGTCACAGGAAATGCGCAATAATGCTATAGTAGCTTTTATTTTCAAGCTAGCGGCTAATCTACAACACTATTCGTTATTAGTCGTTCCATAACGTTTTAAATTTGGTGCTTTTTAAAGTTCATTTTCTAACGTTGGGTCCAAACTCTTATTAAAATGGGGGGCGGAGATCTGGTAAGTGTGGATATTAACTTGCACGACAAAAAAACGTACTTTACACGTACTTCTTTTTCTTTCGGCTTTGTCCCTTTTTTTCGGGGGTTGCCACCACACATACAAATCAATAAATAAACACTGAGTTGATTTGTAATTGTTGTTTTACTAAAATGTTGTTTATATTTCTTACGTACTTAAACATAAACCTTAATTTCTATTCTCTTGTTACAACAAGTACCACCAAACAGGTGTCGCTTTTCTCAAAATCTCATTTTAAACGTGTTAAAATTGTTGTAGTTTCAAACACGTGGTTATATTGTTTGACATTAAAAGGTCGTGTAAAGGTTTTAAGGATCTCAGAAGTATTGCTTACGGTCCATACCCTTTTTTTTCTGACAGAATTTGAAAAAGAGCTGGCATCCCCAGACTATGAAAAACATTGAGCGTGTTTGGAAAGCAGAGCAGAAACATGACGCTGAACGTAAGAAGATCGAAGAGCTGCAGAAGCAACTCAAAGAGGAACGAGCCAGAGAAGAAATTACCAAATATGCAGAAGAATCTGGGGCCATCAAGTTAGTTCTTCCCACTCCCTGTGTCATCTAGAAAATGTTTTTGGGTTTTGTTGTTGTTGTTGTTGTTGTTTTACATTCGATTAAAGTAAGAATGGAAATATTAACATTTTTATTTGTGTGATGGCAGAAAGAAAGATGATCGTCTAGACTGGATGTATCAGGGACCTGTTGGTCAGGTGTCCAGAGATGAGTATCTACTTGGGCGCCCAATTGACAAACAGATCACCGACCAATACGAGGAGCAGGAAAGTGGCCCATCATCAGAGACTGGCTTACTACCAGGATCCATTTTCAACCCTGTCACACCTGCCTCCAACCTTGACCTAGCTGCAAAGATCAGGGAAGATCCTCTTTTTGAAATTAGGTAGGACTTTTGTCATCTAAGTAGTAGATTGAATTCCCTGCCAGTAAGTCACAAAAAGCATAAAGAACTTTTTATAATTGGAAGAAAAACTGTTCTAATGAAATTGACTTCAATAGTTGCTTATGTTTAAACCCAGACTTTTTTCTCTTCAATTCTTTATTGTAGTGCCTCAATCAAAATTAACAATGCTCCTTGTGTTGTGTATTGAACAACAGTTTTCACTTACTGAAACTTTATACATTACATTCCCTACATTAGAAAACTAGAAGAAGCAAAGAAGAAGGAAGTCTTGACTAATCCTGTAAAGATGAAGAGGATCAAAGAAATGGTAGGATTTCTGATTGGCATTTATCTTTGTAGTGATGTTTTAATTTCTTAAAAAAATATGTTTATATATGTTTAGAATTATGTTGCTTTTCTTACAGCTGCGCCAGAATCTTGAAAAGAAAGACAAGAAAAAAAAGAGGAAGAAAGAAAAGAAAGACAAAGAGAGAAGCAGAGAGAAGAAACATAAAAAGATCCTGAGTTCAGATGAGGAAGATGAGAGAAAACACAAGTATGTCATTTGTAAAAAGTTGAAGACAATGATGCTTTGCTTTTGTGCTTCTGAAGGATCTCTCTGAGTGGTCCATTAAAAGGCTAATGTATATGAAAATAAGCCTTAATTACAGTTTAGGTTTTGTAAGTTAACCAGACCCTAAATTCTGCTGTGTAATCAACAACTGTTAACAAGTGTGACATACATCTCGTGTGCTCAAAATTAATTGCTATTGCCTTGCATGTTTTCTAGGTTACCGTCACAGGATGTTTTTTCAACAGAAGCCAGGTCTCGTTCTCATCATCCCTCTGGCTACGGCCTACAGGTCAGTCAGAAGCATAAGTCTAACATAACTGCATAACATGATTAAATACTGGCTATGTGTGTAATGTTTACTAACATTTGACCTAATATGTTTGGTCAGCCTTTTTTCCGTGCATTTGAAAGTGCATTTCAAGGCTGCTTCTCTGTTACTGTTTTTCTAAGTTCTAAGTGCATTTCAAGGCTGCTTCTCTGTTTCTGTTTTTTTAAGTTCTAAGTTAAAAAAAAAAAAAAAAAAAACCCAAAGCCATTTCTTCGCTTTTTACCAGCTACCAGGTGTTCGACATCACTGGTCCTCTTCAACTCACTCCAGCCACTCAAGGCACCGAGAAAGGAGTCGCACTAGATCCAGATCTCGATCCCCCCGCAGGAACCACAGACTCAATCACCATTCCTCTTCCGCTGGGCACAGATATGAGAGGAAGACTGAGACCAAAGCCACCAGTTTGGAGCCAAGGCATAAACCGAGACAGACAAATAATGTGTCAAAGTATGTCTACATTTGGTGTTGGTTTAATGTTGGTGATGGTGATGTTTTTATGATCAACAAGTTTTTTTTCACTGTATTATTTCCATTTTATCTTTTGGATGTTTCTTCTGATGCAGAAAGCTCTCTGCAGAAGAACTGGAGCGAAGGAGACGGGAGATGATGGATGAGGCCAAGCAGAGGGATGAAGATAGGGAGAACAATGTGAAGCGGTACAAGAAGCAAGATGAGCAGGAGAGGCAGAGGGAACAGAACACCAAGCACGAGCCACATGCTGGATTTATTCAGTAAGTGTTTAGAAACATCATGTGACAATTCTGCACTTTGATGGTATGTCTAATACACAGGGAAGAGTGAAAAACACTTACCTTTTTTTTGCAGTGACATGAAGTTGCAAAGTGCTTCCAGCTCTTCCTTGGAGGACAGGGTGAAGAGGAAAATCCACTCCATTCAGAGAACACCAGCTGCTCTGGACAACTTTATGAAGAGATGAGAACAGGAGATATTTACTACCATGTGGGAAAAAAAATGTACAACCTTTCCTGATCCGATTAAGGCTCTAACTAGACAGTGTCATACAACTGTCGCCATTTCAGTCATGGAAACTTGTCTTGCCTCCTATTTGTTGTAACCATCTCTGTCTGTGCGTGAGCATTCCTCAAATGTTGAGGTATTGATGATGATGTAACATATGACCTCTAAGAAATGTTTTAGATACCTGTTGTCACTGTGAGTCAATTTAATTGACTCATTTAATTATCTTAATAAAATTGTTTTCCCTTTTCAATTAAAAGAAATATGCACAAGCACTCTTCAGGCAATGCACTATCAAAGTATTTTTGTATCAAAGGTTTCTCGTTAGTTACATTATAAGTTTATATTTCATACAAATAGGCATAACCTCAATTTAAGCAATACAAGATTACTAGATGAAAAAATCTGTGCATTCCAATTTTTATTTTTTACAGTATTTTGCAATTTGAATTAGTTTACCTGAGCATTTGTTATATATGTTTGATTTGTCTATTTATGTTGGCTTCTTTAACTGGATTTCTCTGCATTCAAATATGTGGATTTCATTTAATACTATACAAATAACACAAACATAATATCTATAATGCAATGTGCTGCCCCGAATAGCTGCATGAAAATGGCAATTTGCAACGGAAAACTTTGTTTGTTTTTCTTATTTAAGAGAACTGAGCTGAGCCCGGCTTTAATTTCAGTTTCACACGCCTCAATCAAACTATACACGCACGTTATGCCGCCTTGCAATATTCCCCAATAATGTTATGCTGACGCGTTGAACAACGTTCCATCAGCCAATAGGCGCTGCATAACGCGTGACGTAACAACGATCATGATTGTACGACGCGTCTGTTTCCAAATCGTGTAGTCACTGTGGGAAGACAATCCTGCCTCTGTAAGACAGGCGATATTTAAGATTATATTTGACTGCCGAGTGGGGAAAACATCGTCACATATTCACAATGGTAAGAACGTTGTTTTAAAAAATATATCCACTGTCGAAAATGTATTTACAATTCGTTTTATAGTCTTAGTTTGATTAGCACGGTTATGCTAATGATGTTAGCCTTCGCGTTGGGTCTTTTCTTTTTTAAGTTAAAGATAATAGATGGAAATTTTACTTGTACAGTGTTTTACAATTAACTTTTACTTTTTACAGTTTAGTCAGATATTCTACGTTACGTTTTAGTAAATTACAGAAAATGCGTTGTAACGTTAGCCTCTTCTGGTCGAAAAGCTGAGTAATTAGCATATTTAGCGAAAGAGCTAACTTAAAAAAAAAAACTACTACACTAACACCACTTGTCTTTATGGTTTCAACTTACCTGAAATTCACTTGGTCAGTTCTCTGCTGGCAGTTTAATCCAAACCGTTACAACTTGTCATTTTAAACAAACTGTCACAAGACCGTCAAATGATAAGCTAACTGTCACCTGTGAACAAACTAGTCTAATATCAGGCAGGCAGAAGTAACTACTAAGTGCACGTTGCAGGTTCAAATCCACTAGCCTCCAAGGTGCCACTGAGGTGCACTGAGCATGGTACCATCCCCAGCCACTGCCCCCCGAGAGCTGCACCATGCTCCTTATGGTGATAGCTTAAAAGCAACGACAAATAAATCACTTTCACATTGAGAAGAACTACTACATCACATTAAAAACTCAAGACAGGTATACAGTATAACAAATCTAGCCTAGTATGAAACCTGAAGTGTTTTAATAGAAAGCATTTGGAAGAAGCCAGTAGAGAAATAAAGGTTACCCCAAGAGTGGTCACATGTTTGCTAACAATAACTCCCTGTCTGTGTCTCTTCTTTTTCCACAGTCTATCATGTCATATAATGGTGGTGCCGTCATGGCAATGAGGGGGAAGGACTGTGTGGCAATAGCAGCAGACCGAAGATACGGTATTCAGGCTCAGATGGTTACCACAGATTTCCAAAAGGTCTTCCCAATGGGAGATAGACTGTATATTGGGCTGGCAGGACTGGCCACTGATGTTCAGACAGTGTAAGTGTGAAATGATACCAACTTTAGTAGACTAATGACGGTAATATTTAAGGACAAAAACGGCAGAAACGTGAAGACTTCTTGTTACACTGACTTTTTTCCGTCTGTGAAATTTGTATTTGCATCTTTATTCAGAGCCCAGAGACTAAAATTCAGACTGAACCTTTATGAGCTGAAGGAGGGTCGCCAGATCAAGCCTAAGACGTTTATGAGCATGGTTTCTAACCTGTTATATGAAAGGAGGTGAGTCAGTGTTGTCGAAATGTTTTTGATATATCTGTGGATAGTCAAAGAAAACAAAACTGGATAAAGGTAGAAAGTGTGTCTCAGCAATTGGGAAGACATTTCGGTACAGTAAAACAGATAAGTGGAAGGACTCACCCAAGGGAAAACAAAACGAATCAAACATGGAACATTTTACAATGTACTCCAATGGAATAATATAATATGGAATATACCACTGCTGTAATGCTTGAATGATAACAAGCCTCCAGTCACTAGGTTTGTACAGATAAAAATATACATGTAGGTTCGCAGTAGTATTTCAGTTTACAGGGCGTGGGTCGTAAAAACATTTGTCCCCAAGGGGAGGTGTGAAAACATTTCTGTCCCCAAGGGGCAGCAAATGACAGAAAATAATTGAGAAAAAAAGACGTAAACGTATTGGGGAAACTTTGTTGATGTCTTTTGAAAGTAAGGTGTTGGCTTAATCTAGGTTGATTTTTTTATTTAATTCTACATAAATCGCATGTCAAGCTACAGTCATGGTAACCAAAGGTTTTCTATCAAATTTAAAGCATGTGACCCTTGCTGTCAAACTTGATGTTTAATGACCTGGCAAGAAAATCTGTTGCAGTCATCATTTATTTAATGCTTAAAAAGCGTGAATAAGCTTGAATAAAGACACATTTTTTAGGGAATATTTCAACCATTTTACGGTTTTTCCCCACAGTGATGGGGCGTGATTGTTGAGTGTTTGCTCTTTATTCACTAGTTTTGAATTTTATTTATTTGTTTTTTTTAATTGCAGCAACATGATGATTGATAGAAATTATGGTAGAGATATCTTAAATAAGTTTATAAAAATAAGTTAAAAAAAAAAAGATAAGTTAACACATGTTATTAAGATTGATAAAAGGAAACTCTTTGAAACTGCAATAACAAATCTATCAAAGTAGAAAAATATCAATGTGTCTGGTCTTGTAATCTGGACTTGGGGCCCCACCTGCTGGTTACCCCAGTGAACTAACTCTCCAGTAACACAAAATCCCCATAACCTTTCACTTCAATGCTAACTTGTGTCCCTGGGTCATGACCTACCTGCTCAGGTTTGGGCCATACTACATCGAGCCTGTCATTGCTGGGTTGGACCCCAAAACCTTTGAACCCTTCATCTGCTCCTTGGATTTGATTGGCTGCCCCATGGTGACAGAGGACTTTGTTGTGAGTGGCACCTGTGCAGAGCAGATGTACGGCATGTGTGAATCTTTGTGGGAGCCAAACATGGTAAGAAGTCTGCAGAATGTCGTGTATATACAGTATATTTATCTTTCGGAACGTAGTATTTTGTCAAAGAGGCTAAATGTTAAATATGTGACCTTTTTTTTTCACAATATGCGAGATATACAGTACTTTGACTTACGGTTGTTCTAACCGCAGATGTTTGATAAAAATCTTTCTTCTTACAGGAACCAGATGATCTGTTTGAAACCATCTCCCAGGCAATGCTTAACGCTGTAGACAGGGATGCTGTTTCCGGCATGGGTGTTGTTGTCCACGTTATGTAAGTAAATGAATGACTACAACATGAGGTACAGACTAAAAAAGCACTCTGAAAATTTCTACTCATTTTCTTCCCTTCTCTTTTTTTTCCCCCCATGTCAGTGAGAAAGACAAGGTTACAACAAGAACCCTCAAGGCCAGGATGGATTAGGGCCCTTTCCCCCCACAATGAACCAACAAAGATGTTTTGTATAAAAGTAATCAACAATGTTTATTCCTCTCTTTCTTATTGTTCAATAAATTAGCTTAGGTTTAAACATCGGCACTTGTCTTGGGTCATTTCAACTTTTAGAATTATGGATTAAAGTAGGGCTAGGGGGCAGTGGTGGCTTAGTGGTTGGACTTGGGTCCGGAAGGTTGTAGGTTCGAATCCATCAGCTGCCAAGTTACCACTGAGGTGCACTGAGCATGGCAACATCCCCTACACACGGTTCACTTTGGTGATGGGTTAAATGCAGAGGTCACATTTCGTTGTGTGCCGTGACAGCTCTAGCTAAAAGTTCAAACTGCAACAATTTTGCAAGGGGAGGAGGGGACAATGGAAGAGGAAGCCCACAACAGGAACAGCAACAACACAGTTGAAAAACAAAAGATAAGACACTTTTTTTTTTTTAAGTGGTGCTCTTAACATCATCATCATAACACTATCGATGTGAAAAATTACATGACATTCCTTTTAGGTTTTAAAGTTATTAATCATAGGTAATAAATTAAAATGAATCCCCCAGGTGAATTGTTTAAATTATTTAAGTTATCAATTGTAATCTACAGTATACCGTATGTTAAAGTTCATTTTTTTTATTTAATCTAATTTATATGTGCAGGGGAATTATTGGGGGTCATCCTTATACTTACCTTCAGGGTATGGAAAAGGGCTGAGGTAAGGGATGGGGGGGGGGGCTTACTGGACTATGGCTTTTCCTGATTAGTTGGTTGTTTTTATAAATTGACTATCTTCCTGTAAGACACATCTTCAGTAGTGGAACAACAATCTAACACAAGCAACACTGTTAACTTTAACTGTTTTCATTCGGTTTGAGTTGTGCTCAAACTAATTCAACAGCATAATATTTTTTGGAGCTATTCGGGAAACGTTATGATCAATTAACCGTAGCACTTTATATCGCAACCAATCGTGACGGTTGAGTAACCGTGACATCGAGTCTGGTCCCGTGTATTCTAGTACTGTTCTGATGACGTGATTAGCACGTCATGTTTGAATGTAGCAGTGTAAAAGAGAAACTGACAATCAACAACATCCTGTTGGAGGTAAGTCAGGAGAAGGTTCTTAGTAATAAACATCCAAACAAGGAAGACAAGATAAAACTCCCTTTAATATGCAATCGTTCATTTTCAAGTAACCTTTTTTTTTTCTTCTCTCATGTCTGTTGGTAACAAAACAATACTGTAAACAAACACAAAAGTTGCTACATTAATGTAAACAAGATATAAAAATGATCCTTATGGTCACAAAAGTATTTGTTGTAGAATTCCCCTTTTTACTGTTTTTTTTTTTTTTATTCATTTCTGTTAGACTGACCTCCACCAAGATACTCAAAAATATGGCAACGTAACATTCGAACACCAATTATATATATATTTTTTTATTTTTTTTTTTGTAATATTTTGTTATTGTCATAACACTTGGATGCTAGGTTTCAGGTGTTTGATGTTTCAACTTACGGTTGGGGGGGTCTCACGTCACACATCAGCCATGCATTTTTGATATTGCATTCGTTTACCTACACCATTACAGATGGATGTTCCACTTTCCTCCCAGATTTTTCAGATTTGAACTTGATTAGAACAGAGAAAAGCCTGGTGGCGTCTGTCAAAGGGCTTGTCATGCAAATGGACCTCTGTGTGTGTGCGCAATAGGGCTTTCTCTTTTTGACTGAAAATGTTCCAATGTGAAGCTAAAAGTGTACTTTTGACAGTAAAAACCACATTTAACTGGGTTTCAGGGAATAAAAAAAAAAAAAAAAACTCTACCTCAGATTTCATGTTTCGACTTCAGCACAAGACGACCAGGATACAACTCTGCTGTTAGGACTCAATCTGAAGTCTTTTATGTGGTAGAAAATAAATACTCAAAAAAAAAAAAATTTCAAAATAATTTCCTGCTTTCAAACTTAAGTTCCATGTTGACTACTGACTGTGTTTTCACAGTAAGCACAAACAGGAGTTCTGTCATTATTTTGGCCCCGACTAGTACATTCTTTTAGGGCAAACAGCAGCAGAGGTGACTCAGGATGTGTCAGACATGTGAATTTTTTTTTTTTTTTTTTTTTTTTTTAAACATTTTTCCTGGACAAAGTGACAGGCCGAGTGTGTTATAGAAAATGATAAGAGGATAAGGATAACACCAATGTTGACAGGAACTGGAGAGACTGTATTAACAGACTGTTAACTGCTGAAGCTGACACTAAAGGCATTAGTTAGACAGTGTCCGTGCTGGCGTGAGGGAACACGGTGGCTGAGAACGAGTGGAAGTAGAAGAACTGAATAACAGAAGACAGGGAGATTATCCACACTCATTTAGCCACTCTTTCTGCTATTTTTTTTTTTTTTTTTTGGTGAGTAAAGAGGAACCAGGCAATGGTGCTAAGTGTTTCCGTTGTAGGTGGAAAAGGTCAAAAACATACCCCCCCCCACCCCCCGGGAAGGTTTGTATTAATCGGATGTAATGACCTGAAGGCAGAGGTGGAGAAGATGGCCCAACACCAAGCTGAGAGGAGAGAAATACATGTGTGGATTTGTGACCAGGATGAAGCAGAGGATTATGGGAGATGAGTCTATGATAGGATGTTGGACATGAACTCGTAGAATCGTTTGGAGTACTGCTCTGGGTTCACTGTTGAGATCTCAGCCCCCGCCTAGGAAAAAAATGAAAAAAGGAATTCACACAATAAACAAATAATTAATAGTAGCAGTTTATTTAGTTACACATAGTGGTGGCATTTGTGTCAAAAACAAGAGTACTCATCTCTATGATGATTATCATAGAGATAGATATCGTAAGATGAACAGAAATCAGAAACCTCTGAACACATTATGTTCCATAGCACTCACCCCATGTTTCACAGTTTTGGCAGCATGTGCAGCTTTTTTCTTAGCATCGTAGTGGGTGAGGATGTCAATGATAGCCATGAAGTAAACCTCCTTCTTCACCGCACCTGGTGGGGAACAAACATGCAGTGGAAAAGGTCCTTGTGATTTGCAGCCAGTTGCTGATGTGATGAAGGCGACATTTTGAAACATTTCAATGAGTATCTGCAGATTTTCAAATGAGCCAACTGCTAATATTCAATGACTTTTTTTGAAAGCGGTTTGTTTGGATTTATTGATCCCCAGGGGAAATCATTGGGGAAATTAAGAATAAAACTAAAAAGAAAGAACTTAACAATTGAAAACAATGAAACAAATGCAATAATAAAAACAAGACAATAATCACTAAAGTGGCAAAACTGATCACAGAGTTGGTGCAAACAACCGCAAAAGTAGAGAGAAGAAAGGTGACAAACATAAAAGTGGAATATGGGAAATAATAGAGAATGAAAATGAAAATATAGTCCAGTTGCTTTGAAAAATACCCTATAGTTCATGACACCGTAGCCGGGTCTAACCCAGTGGTTATTGTTTTACTGTGCTGCAAGTGGCTAGCCAGATTAGTGCTTCTAATTTCTCGTGCCCATGCAATAGTTTCTTGTGCTCAGGTGATCACTTCTCGCGCGCAGTTTTGTCGTCAATGATGTCTCCCTATTGTTCAGCAAGTGTCATGTGTATAAATTAAATTCTTTATGAAGAGTTTTATTCAGTTGTAAAGCAAAACAAAAGAAAAAAGAACAAAGCACACATGAATGTTTCCTGGTAGGCACCACCTAGTGGCGGAACTGAAAGGCTGGGTATTTAGAGAAAAAGGAAAAAATGAGAGCAGTCTTTATTATGGCCATGGACAAATTAATACCAATTAGACGGCATGATTAAAATGCCTATTACAGACCTATTACCAGTTGGACAGGATTCAAACTTACATGACTCACATCTTAACCAAAAAAATAAATAAATAAATAACTGTCAGAGTCATGTAGATGCTGTTTACAGCTACGTTTTCACAAGAAAAACAAGACTCACCGTCGTGGCTCTTGATTGCGTAAACGTCTACAGAGGGGTCGAACTCCCCGGGGCTGAAGAACCCCCCGCAGTTGAGCGGGTTCCCAGGGCTGTCGGGTGGTGTTCCGAAGGAGCCGGTGTGCACTCCCCCTCCCATGCCATCATTTTCATACTCCTCCTCTTCCCCCGCTCCCTCCACATCCATCTCCTCTTGTTCTGCTCGTTCCACATCATGGATGCCCACCAGGAGGCTGTAGTCCATGATCTTTAATGTGGCCAAAAACTAAGAAGGAGGAGAAGAAGACGATGCGGAGAACAGTAAACATGAGCGTTCTACTACTTCCCAGTAGTTCTTACTTTGTTTAATAGCCTCGTAGTCAATTAAATGACAGTGCAATTACATCATAGAAAAATGCGCCATACTTTTTTTTTTGAATGACGTTTTATATTTTATTTTTTAGTTGCTTCCGAGTTCACTTTTTTCCTTGTTGGATTGCATCTAGATGAAAATCGGATTTTATTTCTACTTCTATTCCTTAATATATGCTACAATCTTATGATTCAATATTAAGTCAAACGAATAGTGCATGTAAACATATGCGTTGACTTGGATAGCTCTATAATTTGCTCTCTCTCCTTTGCTGCTGCTGTTACTTTTACCGCATAAATATGTGCTCATAATGTTCACAGGCCTGCATTAGTACCTCTAATTTTATCAGGGTAAATTAAGTGGATGTGTAAATGCATAACTCATAGTGAACATACTCACGGTTGCTTGAACTAATTCAGATGTTGGCTGTTGTGGAACCAGAATTTCTCATCTCAAAGTAAGTTAACTCAGAGTTGTAAGTTTTTTTGACCTCTTTTCTAGAACTGTTGTTCTCGAACCCAAAGCCTTCCGGACCCAAGTCCGCTTTCTTAACCACTTCTCAAGCACAGACTTGTGCACAGTAATGGGTGAGTCTGAATTCTGTCCATAGTTTTGTTTTAAACTTCTTTTATTTAGAAAGAGGAAAGTGGGACTACGTTTACCTAGGTCCCCAACCACAAACCGGAGCAGATAAAGGAAACTAGAATAGTTACTTACAATCGTAAAGTAAATGGTTACGTAATTACAATGAGTAAATAATGTAGGTTTTAATTTTGAGTTTTGAAATGACTTCATTACCATCTGCACTTCCTGACAGGGTAAATTGATAATACTCTAGGACAGTGCAGAGACGGACACTGTGAGGACCCCAGTGAGACAACACCTCTGACAGCATTAATAAATCCAATACCTCTACATCTCGTTTTAGCTTCTCCAAAAAGTACTTCTTGTTTTCATCTCCTATTTGCAGCTTCTGCCCTTCATTCAGGAAGTCATTGTCTTTAAACGTGGGAAGTTCTTTAGCCTGGAGACAAACAAAAGAGGGAGAAGGTGTTTGATGTTGCAATGTCCCATTTACTCAGACAACTGAGAGGTGAACACAGGTGGAGCGGTGATGTTGATAATGACTGAAACATTACAAGACTCAAAAGAGAGATAGAGATCTTGAGTGAGAGACAGCAGTGACAGATACTAAAACAAGGCTCCACATACAAACACACAAGCACACGTGTGTGAGGACTTAATGTAACCATCATTTGACAGTTTTGCCTTTAGGGTTTTGTTCCATCATGTCAGCAGCTGGTAATGCAGCAAAAAAAAAAACAACCCACCTTCTCCTTGTCGCTGGCTTCTCTAGAGACCGTAGAACCCTATAAACAAGGACAGAAATAGAATTAAGAGAAAGCGGTTCCAGACAATTATTATCATCTGTCCTCTGCTTAGCTGTCAGTGTGAAGAAAGCTGAGCTTGTTCTCTGCCAGTGTATACTGGCAGGAAGACTGGCAGATGCTATGGATGGTGTTTTTAAAAGATGTTGTTGCCCTTTATGTGCCTTTTTTTTCCCCCAAACACATTGGGGAAATGTGCATGGAAATATTCCTCACCTCAAATCAAAAATGTTGTTCATGTTCATGAGCCAGATATTAGGTTTTACAGCAGTACAGTGTGTTTCTTGCCTTTAAAGCTCAGATATTAGGTTTTACAGCAGTACAGTTTGTTTCTTGACTTTAAAGAAAAAAAAAAAGCTAAAACTTTTTTGCATCTACCAGAGCAGTTTTCTCCCTACCCATAAACACACAGATCCTACCTTCAGGTCATACTTGCGGTGTACAGTAAGGCGATGGCTGAATACATTCCGAGTTACCACCATGTACGTTTCCACCCCATCCACCGTTAGTCTGTACATGCCAAGGAACTGAGGCAGTAGTGTGTTGCCATGACACTCCACTATAAACTGGAGATAATCAAGGGAGGAGAAGGAGGTGAGAACAGAGTTAAGGAGAGAAATGTAAAGATTAAGAAAGAAGACAAACAGAGGCTCAAACATCTCTGTCCCAGACACTCGCATAACTCACACTGTTTCTTACTAACTTATTCATCAATACTGAATGTGGACGGATGGGGGTGGGGTGAGAGGTTGGTGAGGTGCAGGGTCGTCTACCTGGTGATATTTCTTTAAGATGTTGTGCATCTCAGCAATGTCCTCACTGGACACTGTTTTGATTACAAAGCGGTGGTCGTAGCTGGACAGGAATCGGTTGCCGAAGCGACCCTGGGAGTCACTGTTGAGGGGGGCGCTCCTGGTCAGAGAGTTCTGACATAGGCAAGATATTCTGTTACCATCTACTAGTCTTACATGTGGCTTACAGTCTTATGTCCTTTGCCAGTGTCTGACCTGGTAGTCCTGGTCATCGATGCAGAACCTCTCCCTCAGGTTCCTGAACACCATGGGACAGTATTCTTTGAACTTAAAGCGACTGGGCAGGTTTTCTCTGAGGGGGAAGTGGAAAAAAACAAAACAAAAAACAAAACAATGAACACAGAGGTTCTTTAATGTCAAATGAGGAAGTTGGCTAAATTGGGTGTGTATTTTAGCTTTTATCTTTTCATCATAAACAGCCAATAATATGACACAAAACACATAACACAAATGACACATAATTAACATCAGTATATATATATATACGTACATGTCTATGAAGTGAAATTCAATAGCGACTCTCTTCAATTATTAATAATATCATCCCTCTACTGGAGGGCTCTTGGGCTTCTCCACTAAATCCTAAATTCCCCAAAGGGAACTCCCGAGGGGTTAATAAAGTGCTATCTATCTATCCATCTATCTATCCATTTATCCATCCATCTATCTATCCATCTATCCATCCATCTATCCATCCATCTATCTATCCATCCATCCATCCATCTATCTATCCATCCATCCATCCATCTATCTATCCATCTATCCATCCATCCATCTATCCATCCATCTATCCATCCATCCATCTATCCATCCATCTATCTATCCATCCATCCATCCATCTATCTATCCATCCATCTATCTATCCACCCATCCATCTATCTATCATCCAGCTAGCCATCTATCCATCTATCCATCCATCCATCTATCTATCCATCCATCCATCCATCCATCCATCTATCTATCCATCTATCTATCTATCATCTATCTGTCCATCCATCTATCTATCTATCTATCTAATAGATGGCCCTCTAAGCACAGCTCCACCTTTGGGTCGCTCTCTTTCAATCAATAAAACAAGATCGCCAACAAACAAAACTCGAGCCAAATGTTTGTTTTCCACTAAACATGACACTTTCTAGCGTTATTCTAGTTTTTCCTGACATCATTTTATAACATTGTTTAAGTAGATACTTGACCAAAACATTACAATGTGTACTAACCAAAAAAATATAATATTAAAAAATATAAATTTAAATGATTGATCTGTCTTATGTTAGGAGCAAAATTACCCAAGGTGAGTTACGACAACACATCACTTCACATCAATTCCATTCCAAAGGCTGATCCTGAAATGTTGGTAAAAACGGGTCCCATTCCAATCCTACTATTCTGACTGACTAATTGTCAGGTGTACACTCATCCTGCGACTCTCCTGTTCCACCACATGCCAAATGTGTTCAACTAAAATCACTAAAATCTGGTGACAAACAGTCTCTACGATCACTTACTTGTGCCCTCGTAAGTTTTCCTACAGTTTACAAAAAATGTCCGGCTGTTCTCAAACCACGATGCAGTTGTTTAAATACAATAAGTACAGTTGGTGAGGACAAAACACAATAAGCTTCAATGGGGACCAAGACTACCTCTTTGTCTGGCAATTACCAAGAAACCAATGGGGGCATTTTTGCACATTTCATCACATGCTTAAAATATTGATGCAACAGCAATGCATCATTTCTTGTGTGGGCTGCTTTATTACCGCTTCCAAGTAATGATTTTTATAATGCGGCTCAAGTACAGTGACGACAGGTACAGGGGATCCGAACAGAGCTCAGTGAAAGACTCTATCGGTGTACTTTTCACCCCCTCTTGAAATTTCAGCATTACACGTTTTGCAAATCTCTAGCCGTAGGTCTTTCCCAGATATATTGAAATACATCCACACAGCAGACAGTTTTTACTTGTGTCATCACAACTTCCTGTTTCAGCGGTGTTGTTTCGGTGATAAAAGTCTAATTTGGTCGAAAATGCACTTTTGGGCCATTTTCGGCTATTCTGTTCTGACTTCCTGCGTGACTATCAGTTCATTTGATTTCTCTTCTAGACATTTGACAATTAATTATTTTGAAAATAATTTAGTTATTATTATCAATTTTTTTTTATAATAAAATATATAATTGCATTTAGGAAAGCTCCAGGAAAAACTCTAAGTACGGTTTCTTTGCAATTAAAAATGAAATATTAAAAATAGAGCAAAAAGACATGTAATTTGATATGTTTGTCTACATTATATTTTACTAAGGATGTGACCATACACTGAACTCAATATGATTCAAAATTAGTTGTTCACAAAACGTTTAATAACTATGCAAAATACCATTAAGAACTGAAATGGACTTGTGTATCTCATAAACTGAAATTGTTATCGTAAATATCAGAAAAATGCACATTTTGTTTTACAGAAATACTGCACCATCACCATTTATCTCTTCTTGTTAAAAGTAAACCTCATCTGCTCTTATTTACCTTGCAAACTGCCAATACATTAAACAACAAAAGAGTATCAAAATATTAAATATTACAGAAACACTCTCAAACATTGTGTCTGTGGAAGATGTGCTTCCCACCTTTTGTTTGAACACCTCAACATTTTGGCTTAAAAGCAGGTCACAACCAACGGTTTTAGGCACATACTGCCACCTACTGTACTAGAGTGTGTAGTTTCATGGTATGACTGGTGACTTTTTGAGTTAACGCAGCCTACTCCTTATGCCTTGATAAGCAATTCATTTTTGTATTTCAACCAATGCAAATTGTGACAAACTTGTATTGATTTTTAACCACGTCACAATGCAAATTGTCACATCCCTACATTTTACATTTAAAGGTAAATTGTTTGTGATGTGTCTACCAATTTAGAAAGTCATGGATATCACGTCAGCATAAATCTTCTGAACTTTTGAGCCAGATCTGATGGTAATTAGCCATTGGCTGGGTCATGATGCTAGAGAGCAAAAAGTGTTGCCTGCAGTCTCAGAATAATTGGTTAAACGCCTTTTGGATGATTTTTTTTTTTTTAGTTTAAGATTCATTAATGTGCCACTTTTACTTCAATGAAGATAAGAGTGAGACGGTTACAGAGCATCAGAGGGAGGACTACGAGGCTGTCCCTGAAGCTGTGAGACTGCTGACCTCTGGTGGACCCCTGAACCCCTCCCCCCCACCCCCCATACTGTGTGTAGAGAGTGGGAGCAGAGGTGATGAACTCTACAGACCTAACATCTAACATCATTGACGGTGTATAAAGTGTCATTTACTCACTTGTTAAATAGATGGTTGTCCACTTTGATTTTACTGTAGGCTTTAAAGTCATCTGGCATCAGCATTACAGGTACAGGCACGTTACTTAATTCATTGATCTGCAGGGCAAAGTTGGAAGACTTGAGGTTAGAGAGGAGCCAGGCAAGAGGTGAACATCTGATCAGTACAAACACAGGAAGAGTTCACTATTGTTTAGGACTGAATTTAAAAAAAAAAATAAAAAACAACAGAAATATTCCAGATCAACTCAAACTTTGAAATCTTATCTCAAAATCAATGATAAAAAATTGATTAAATTGCAAATTTACCACATTTTCCGTTTTTTTTTTTTCGTGGTCAAGAAGTCTTTTATTATCTCCTTTTTTATCGATACAGGCAACACACACGCTCCATGCAAAACATCATCCGCACTTCCGCACGGAACAGCGTCAAATCAACAATACGGTGACCATCCAGAACAAAAATAGTGACAACCGCCTGACTCTGGAGGGGCGATCTCATAGAACTTCATCATACAACGGGGGCACCTGCACCGTAAGCTTCTCCGTCTCCTAGCGGGTTCTCCGCGTCCACCGCAGCCCGGCTCATTTCTCATGCGTGGTGCTTTATTCCCGCATCCAAGTAATGATCTTTACAACACAATTCAAGAAGAGTCGCGCCGAGTGCAGGGGATCCAAATAGATCTTAGTGAAACATATGCTGGCAGACTCCATGGGTGTACTTTTCTCTTGAAATTTCAGCATTACACACGTACTCAGATATATTGAAATGCGTCCACACAGCAGACATCTTGGTACTTTCAGACAAGCCGCGGTTTTTGCTTGAATTATGATAACCTCTTAAACTAATTCCTTTTTTGGCCGTGTTGTTTCGGTTATAAAAGTCTTTCGGCTGAAAACCGAAAATGTACTTTAGGGCCATTTTCGCTAGCTGAAAATTTGGTGCATCCCTACTATGTAGCCATAAGTAATAAAGATTTAGTAAAATACAGCTCTGGATATTCTTCGTCCTTTTCATCATAACAACATAAGGGTTTGTATAATGACCAGTATTTCTTTTCACTACAAACCATCTGTTCGTGCCACTGTTGGTGTTCATCTGTAATATTTACATCTTTAAAAGAGCACAGGCTGAAACGGTCAAATACAGTTAAAAATCAGAAGGGGCAGTTATTTCTCTGATGCGTCTGTCAGTTCAACCCAGTTTCTGATTCAAAGGATCAAACAGGATATATCACCGAAACACCAGAAGACAGTGCGAAGGAGTCAAGTCCTGCATCTCAACTGCACCACAACTAGGACATGATTACATATGCACACAGCTTCTGACTGAAGGAAGAGGCTTTGATGACAAGTCTGTTTGATGTCTTAGACCAGCTTCCACCCACATCTCCAACCATCATGCCTGTACTTGCACATGCTGCACCCACACAACCACTTCCAAAGTTCAGTCATACCCAGTACTGCAGACGACAGCGTCTCATTAGCCCCTTTACTGTTGCCACTGTTAATCGTAGAGGACTTGGACGCACACAGAATTGTCAATGTCAGTGCAAACATCTCTCTGTGTGAGAACAAACCATTATTTAGTACAGCTGTAAATTAAGGTCCATGTTCCATTAGCATTAGTGTCATTAGTTAAGGTCTCTTATATCGATCATTACTTCTTATATATCGATCATAACATACAGGCTAGTAGGCCTGTATGTTATTATTTAATATACGCATGAGTGGGGTTTTATATTGTGCATTGATGGAATGTGCTAAATAAATATGTTCATAATTTTGTAATTTATTTATTCTTTAATGCAATAATATTAATTTATCCAATTGCAATGCCATGATTTTAGTGAGGTTAGTACACTGTCATAGCCATAAGCGCAATTGTGCTAATAACTGGCAAAATGATTGTCTCTTTTGGTTTTTGGCCTTGGTTTCATTTTTTCGGTTTTAGTCAAGAATTTTCATTTCGGTGCTTCCATCATTTCTATTTATGTACAATTGATGCTTTTGTAAGAATTTAGGAGGAGATTGTAAACTGATGTTGTTTTGCTGTTAAAATATGTGACCCAATAATAGCAATCACTCCTATAACTTGAACAAAGTGCTTACCTTATAGAACCTATAAAGTAGTTGACATCTGTAGAAAATTGACGGCATAAGACTTAGCACTTAATGCTAACGATCAAAGATCAAAGATCAGAGTAACAACACCTGATCGCATTGTAGTGAACTTAACGAGACTTTAAGAAGCCAAATGTAATGGGCCTTGGATGGAAACTACAACTAGCTACAGTATATCAAATAAGGTAAAATTAATACCCAGGAGTCTCTCCTTTACAAAGCACATGAAACAGTTTCCACTCTACTAACATTTTTTTTTTGCCATGTTGATCAAAGGGGTTCAGAGTGAGACCCAAACTGTTTGCCTGCCTTAAAAGGTATAACACTAAAATACCACAATAAGGGAACTAAAAACTTTATAATTTGGCCTTTAAACATTGTTTAACCACTAATTAACTGGGTTGAGTTATGAAGTACACTAACAAAAGCACATCTTTGAATGATCTGTCAAAGGTTTAAAAGTCTTTTGTTAAAATTGTTAAAAGAAAAGTCCAGGCACATTTGTATGAGGAATGAGGCAACTGATCAGATGCAAGATACAGGCATTTCAAGATTTTTTTTTTTTTTTTTTTCATCTCTTTTGCTTTTTGTGTGAACATAGCTTTAGCCAGACCATGTAAACAGACTGGTTGACGTTTACTTGCCAAGATCTTGTTTGGACCTGGAACAAGCTCATTTGACAATAACATTTAAAATAAAAGTAATAATAATAATAATAATAAACATACTGCTGCACGATCCAGCCATACATCTGATGATGACATTTAAAAGAGAGTTTGAGGGAAGAGGCCGTTTTTTTAGGCAGTGGTGCCCGTACAGAAAGTATTCAGTTAAATAACGGAGCAAAGTATGTTGTCAATTTTAACTCCTAACATACTGATACATACCACTCTCTATGGTGCGTGTTCCGCGTTTGCTGGAGGGTAAAAGCCTTTCATTCCCAACATAACTATACAGTATATGCAATTTTGTTTTGTTTTTTAAATGGAAAAGTTTGGACATGTTTCAAGGTGCATTTTGTTGTTACTCTTCTTGGCTTCAGAGCACTAGCACAAATGCAGTTTAAGGTGAACACATACTAATCATACAATCAATGTTTGTTTTAGACTGCAGTGTGGTTTGTTATATTATTACTATTTAATTTTATTTATACTTATTTTAATTTAGTATTTGCATACATATACATAAGTTAAATAAAAGCAAACTCTCAAACCAATGAATAATCATTTTGAATAACTGACTTCAATATGAATCAAAAATAATCATGATTTAGATTTTCACCATAATCAAGTACTACTATGTATGTATGTATATATAAATGTGTGTGTGTGTATCTCTAGGTTATTAGATGCTTAAAAACATTTCTTATAGACACAAATTAACAAAACTATAACCAACTAAGTATAGCACACACATTAAAATGCAATTGACCTCCACTGAGCTTTTCATGGCAATAACTGGCTGCAGCCAGAAGTAAACGTGATATATTTTCTGTTCTATTTATAAGGAAATGGTATGACAGGATAAGCTGCTAACTGGATGGATGCAATGAATATAGAAGATGAGTGCAGAATTCAGAGTGAGTTTATGACTGAAACCTCCTATATCTAAGGTCAAACTGTTTTATACACTCTCGCTGCCTCGTCGCCATAACTTACCGCACGTCCCGCAACTGACTTTTTTTCGTAGTTCAGAGTTGAAAAATAACAAATCAAAGTAACCTGCTGCTCAAGCTCCCTGTGCCAGACCCCTCCCACCACACGCACGCCTGCACGAACAAAAACCAAGAGCTGCTGCAGCTCACGACCTCATAACTTTTCATCATCCATTATGTGTAACTGCCGCAAAAGGTCAAAGCAAAAAATGCAAAACATGCACAATCCCCTGGATAACTGTTCGGAAAGTTTAAAGCACATGCAGTGTGATTTCTGCAGAAGACATGCTACAGGTACAGTTAGCTTCTGCAGCAGCAACGAAACACCGCAAGAAACTGCTGCAGAATGTGAGGGAAACAATGCGTTATACAGCAAACACACGACTGGACAATTGAGAAAACGATGTGAATTGAACGCATTTCAAGAACAATAAAAGCACGAGAGTTGTTTTGACAGAAGTCAGGCTAACAGGCTAACTTACATGCTAACTCAAATCAAAACAGCAGCAGCATAAACAAATACAAATGCATTTAAGACATGTTACTCACCGTGTGGTTGACTCCCCACATTAAAACGCTGAGAATGGGCTCGCTGGCGCGGAATAATTTCACTTTTTGTCCTATAAAATGCTTCTTTTTCGTCTTGGTTTTGCTCGCGCTGACAGGCGCTGCGCTGGTGCAGTTGGATGACATGTCTCGGCCGGGGGTAGTTTTCGGGGTAACCTCGCTGTCGTTCAGTCTCGACAAGAAAAATAACGAAATGTTGACAGAAAAGAGTCTTTTAAAATCTATAAGTGCATCATGGTCGTCGTCCGACTCGCTGCGAGTCTCTGGGTAGGATAAGTGTAGAGTCAGCGGTAGAGCATTTTGCGCCGTCACCACCCTTCCTTCCTCGGTAACAGGCCGCGGTGGAGTCCAGGGAGCAGCTAACCAGCCATCCGCTACAGCGCAGTCTCTGTCTATCTCTTAATTTTAAAAACAACCCACCAAAAAACAAACCACCCAAAGCCTTCCGCTCACGCTGTCTACTCCCCGTCTTTCCCCGAAGCGCGTAAAGCCCGAAGTTGCTGTGAAGCACTTTTAATCGGAAGTGAGAAGTCCCGTCATGATGCGCCTCAGATTGTTGTCACTCACCGCCGCCAACTACCGCTGATGAGCTGCGTCCACAGGCTCTCCTCAAGATGGCGTCCGACACTTTTGCGCTAAACAGACAACAGCGTCACTCGCAGGTGTTCGGGAGTTTTACATGTATCGTATTTTGCCTCTTACACTGTACATGTAGGGCAGAAGCGGATATAGACATTTTCTGGCCGAAGAACCAGCTTTTTTTTTACTGGATAAATTCAAACTATTAAACTTGTCCGCTGTATTTAACTCATCAGTCGGTTACGTTTCTGAAGTAGGTGAGCAGGGAAGTTGTTTGGTTGCTTAATTCTCCACAGTTCTGCCCAGGTCAGGATTCGACTGGTGAACCTCCAATCAAAAAGCATGATTCTTGAACCTTCTGGTCAATGAAGCACCACGGTTATGTTGGCCCTCTACGGCCATTATTTGTGCTCATAATCACACTCAAGTGAAACAAACTGGAGCATAACTTCAAAATGTATATGTAGTATACGGAGTACCTACTAGGAGTGNTAAGACCATTGGTTCTTAAACTGTTTCTCCAGGGTCCTCCTTTTGTAGACAGGCCTGTTGTCAGGCACCTACACAGTAATCTAGTTAAATTAATATTGTCATTGAACTAGAAATTTTTTTTTTCTTCTTTCATTACTTGTAAAACTTTGGTGGATGCTACTTTCATACCAAGCATTGAAACTCAAACGTGTTGCCAGTCATTCTGCCAATTGTGGAATCACTGTGGAATGTGATTTTCCATCATACATGACCTCTGTCTCAACGTTTTATGTTTTCTTAAAGCGTTTCTTTACCTGAGAAACAAATCAATCAATGTAAATCTTGTATTTTGCCTGAAAATAATGTTTCAAGTGAACTACAAAACAAGGGATTTGAGTTTTTTCTTTAGCAAATAATGAAGTTTAGCAAAGAGAATGATAAAACCGCAGTAAAAAAATGAAAATGTGAAGTTTAGCAAAGAGAATGATAAAACTGCTGAAAAAATGAAAATTAAATAAAAAATGCACAAACCTAGTGGCCCCTGTTACAAAGTAAAAGGGCCCTTCTTACACTACTGTGTGGCCCCCGTGAACGAGGCGACAAAATAATATCACGTGACGTAAGTGGGCGGTCCTCCGACAGCGCTGCTGAAAAAAGCCATTTTCTGGCGCTGCTGCTGCAAATTTTGTTCAAGTCCAGATAAATATTTCACCTGGATCGTATTGTAGAGCAGGGAACAACTTGGATGCCAAAACAGGTAGGAATATCGGTGCGTCTTTTGCGGTCGCTCTTTTGTCCCACAAACATGGCCGGGCCGTCTGCGGAGCCGCACAGCGGACTGAACGGTGCCACATTTTCGAGTCTCCCCCTCTCTGGCTCTCCCTCCCTCGTTACCCTCCCGATACACAGCCCTGTCAGTGAATTTAAGATGGCTGCTTTGTGTACCACGGTCATTTTTGATTTATTTCACCTCAAAATCATGCATTTGACGTTGAGGGCCCCGCGGCGCCGCTCTTCTCGCCGGCTGTGTGCGTCGGCGGCGCTGGGTGCGGGAGCGCAGATCTCCGGGGCAGAAATGGTGCTCGGCTCTTTGTTGATCAGCGGTGCCGATGCCCGGGGGGATAAGTAGGGACCAGGCAGGGGCCATTCTGTCGAGCACCGCCACTCTCACGCCGCGTGTAGCCGCTACGCTGCTGCCGAACGGCGTTACATGGTGGTCGCAGCCGGTCAGTGTGGCCGTGTTGATGGAGCAGCAGCTCCCTTTGTTGTGGTTTTCAAACCTGCTGTCCCACCAGAGGACGAGCTGCAGACATTGTCTTAAGCCCGGGGGAGATGGTTGGCTGTGGGGCAGGCACTCACCCGCCATATGGAGGAGACGGATAATAAGTCTCCCTTAGCACAATATACATAATTTACTATGAGATGAACGGTACCATAGTCGGTATAGCCTCGGTCCAATACCACTTAAAAACAACATTGTATCGAATAGTAAAATAATGGAGGGGATGAAAGACAATGGTCAATTAACAAACCCTACCCCTTGAAAAAAAAAACATTTGTTTTATAAAAATGAACCGTATTGCGTTTGTGATATTGCACTTCTGAGTTATCTTGTTCACCAGTGTTAAAACCAAGCGATGCTCTCAAATAGGTTAGTTTTTGTTTTGTATCGCAGCAAAACGCGTAATAAAGATCCAGTTTTGTCAAGGTACAATCTTGTTTGCATTGGCACACAGTGCACACAAGATCATTTTAAGTTAGGTTCTAGATCACCAGGGTCTCTTTAGAATCTGGCCCAAATGTGGCGTATGCAGGTACATGGTCATCTTTAATAAAATGAACCAAGAACATAAGCACACTGTCTGTATGTATCAGCAAACAACGAACAGGAACCTTGAATGTAAGAAAAAACTTTCTCAAATGTTTCCATCTTCTCAAGCAATCCCTGTGAAGACCTACTGTACAGGGTTCCTGTAGTAATGTAATGTAGTACTAACTCCAACTAGTGGTGGGATGTGGATTTTTATCTATCAAATATGTTTGACAAGATACATTTTCTTTAATGAGTGAATCAGTTAGTACATAAACAGTTCAATGTAAACAACACATTTGTTTTCTTCTGTATCTGAGCACTTTTATCTGTCAACTATATTTACAGATTACTACAATCTTATAGTACAAATATACCTATTATATTCAACAGTTGAGACATTTTTGGCTCTGAATTCTGTTAACTAGTCTGACACAAATATACCTATTATATTCAACAGTTACTAGTCTGACAGTACCAGGGCTGTTGTAGCTAACTTTAACACTGTTTCTGTACCAGGTCTGTTGTATCTTCCATTGGCTCTGGTGTCTGTATCAGAACTGTTATAGCTAACGTTAGCTCTGGTGTCTGTACCAGAACTGTTGTATCTTACATTGGCTCTTGTGTCTGAACAAGAGCTGTTGTGTCTTAAATTGGCTCTGGGGTCTGTGCCTGGACTGCTATAGCTAACGTTAGCTCTAGTGTCTGTACCAGAACTGTTGTAGCTAATGTTAGCCCTGGTGTCTATATGAGAACTGTTGTAACTTACATTGGCTGCTCTAGGCCAGGACTGCTGTAGCTAACTTTAGCTCTGGTTTTTGTACCAGGACTGTCATAGCTAACGTTAGCACTGGTGTCTGTGCCAGGGCTGTTGTAGCTAACTTAAGCTTTGGTGTGTATGCACGCAGCAACATGTTTCACATTGAAGTGATTTAAAAAAAAATTAAAAAGTCTTGTCTTTTATCACTGTTGACCAAACTATTTTGGGTGATGTCACTCAATGCATCCTATGTATCTTCATCTGGTGAAAATTTTAAGTTTAAACTTTAAGTGCCTTACTGCCACCTACTGTGCTGGAGGTTGTCCTGGCACACAATGTTACCCATGTGCCATAAATGAGACAAAACGCCTTGTTGTTGTTTTTTTAAGATAACATTGAATATATTTAAATAAAAGCATACTTGTGTATTGATAATATACACCACCTGTCATAACATTAAATCATAATGTGTATGAAAATATGATGAGGCCATGCCTACTGTCCGTTATCAACATAGCCATTAATAACTTGATGGCTATGCTGGATGTTTCCTTAATTAAGTATTGTAGATAATGCAGTTAAATGCATAAACATATTTTGATATCCACTGACTGGACCTAATTTTCTTTTGGCTCATATAACTTTAGTATTATATTTATTATTAACCTTTTTTTTGCACTGAATATGAACGAGTAAATAAATGTGGATGAAAAACAACTTTTGATGATGTTTTTGATCTAAATCAAATCCTGTTTGTGTGAATGGGCGTAATCCGTCGTGTCACCTACTGTTGTCAACGACAACTAAAGGCCCCCTTTTTTTTTTATATTTCAAATGATTCATATCCTGAGTTACAGTGAACCTGTTTGAGGCAACGCAGGTTCAAGAAAGTACGGCCAATTTTTTAGCTTTTTATTTACAACATTCCATGCATGTACCGAGCCACTGGTGAAGAACAAGTACAGGCAGTGTTTTCTTTGAGACTCTGGTCAATAAGAACCTTTTGGTAAAGCATGTATTTCCACCAGGGCGGCACATCGTTGTAGGCCTGTCAGTCTACACATCAAACCATAACCCTTGTCAGAAAAATGAGTAAGGCATGGTTTTACCTGTGTAGGAGAAGAGACCAACGATGGAGTGTTAATGGCCTTACACTCTTGCTTTGAAACTATATTGTAAACTGACACAGTGACTGGCTTTGAAACTATATTGTAAACTGACACAATGACTGGTCATGTGACAGTTGTTTTTTTTATTATTATTCTTACTGCAAACCTACAATTTAGGTTCCAATTTTGTGAAATACACCAGTTGTTTTTTTTAACTGTGAAATCTCTCCTTCCTCCACAGATCCGTCCACATGGAGAAAATGCAACCCAACCGGATTAAAATCACAGACCTAAACCCACACCTCACATGTCCACTCTGTGCTGGTTACTTAATTGATGCCACCACCATCGTCGAGTGTCTACACTCCTGTAAGTCCATATCATTTCATTCTTACCCTGTTAACCTCAGCGGAAGACAAATCACCACAGAGCCCACAGTGTGAAACGTCTGAAAAGCCATTGAATTTCCTCATGTTAATAGAACGCCTACATTTGTTTTAAAATTCCTTGTTTTATCCTATAAAACTTGTCCCTCGTTTCACAGCAGGGACAAACAACAACCACATAGATTGTTGAAGTAAAAGAATATAAAAAAAAATATCTTTATATCCTTGGATTTGTAGACATGAAGTTTTTAAGTTTAGTTAGTCAAGTCTACCTTTTAACTCTCGTCTATCCTGAGCTTCTATTATTATTATCTATGCATCTTTTTTTCCCTCACTTTGTGGCTACTTCATACTTTTCACAAGTAATATGACCAAACAAATGTGTCTCCATTATCTGAAATCACCAATTGAGCCAACAGCATGGAACTACCATGGAACCAACAGGGAAAAAAAGTGTACCTGTAGCAGCAGCCTATACCACAAAAAGCTGGTTACTTTCCTTAACTGCGAAACATTTACTGTCAAAATCAATACTTTTCAAAAACTAGAATTCTATATTATTTAACAGTACAACAAAAAAAAATCAATTTTGGTGGAATGTATTCCACATTTTTCTTTGTAAAACAAAGAACATAAAGTGCCTTTAGAAATGAATAAGACTTATTTTAACCAAAATCCTTAGTGGTTTTTCACATTTCTGTACCAACAGGTCTATTTAAAAAAAAAAAATCCCAACTATCTCATTCAGCTAATTCTATTTTTTGTGTTGGTTCAGATACCAACACAAAAACTCGTATTCAGTAAAAGTAAATAAAGACTTCATTAAAGCAGTATAGATCCCATGACAAACATTTTTGAGCAGCTTTAAAACAATAGTCTACACCATCAGCTGGAATTGTGGCTTTTTGAATACATAGTAGATGGATGGAAAGATAACAGTGAATTAAATCATGGCAGGGCATGTTGCTTGACATCATGTGTGAAACGCACAACGGCAGAACCAATGTGTAGCCACAGTAAAATGAATGCAATCAAGGTTGGTTTTTTTTTTTGTCTTTGAATAATTTCCTTAGTAATGCATTCATGAGTTCATTTAGCCGCGTAGATTTGTCTATTGATTTAAGTTTCGCCACACTCTGTTGTTGCTCTGATAATGTGCATGCTGCTAAGGCATGACATAGAACAAGTGTCTTAAAAAAAAAATAGAAGTTGTTGAAGAGTTCTTTTTAACCTTGACCATGACCTGGAGGACTGAGAATCTTTATAGATTCTGTATCTCTGTCTGTGTAATGTCAGTGTGAAGGATTATCTGATTCCCTATCTAGTTATTTAGTCAAGGTATGCTACGATGAGGCAGCGGTGGCTTGGTGGTTAAAGAAGCAGGCTTGGGTCTTGAGGGTTTAAGGTTCAAATCCACCAGCTGTCAAGTTGCCACTGAGGTGCTCTGAGCGTGACACTGCACCCCTGCGGGGGTCACATTTTTTTTGCGCGCAATGTTGTGCTTTGTCAAAAATAACATAATTTACTTGTGTTATGTTTTTTTTTTCTGTCTAGTCTGTAAAACTTGCATTGTTGCCTTCCTCGAGACAAATAAGTTCTGTCCTCGATGTGACGTCCAGGTCCACAAGACGTGTCCACAGCTCAGCATCAAGTAAGACGGGTTTGCCTGAACACACACACACACACACTTGATTGCTGAAGGAAAATGACGAGTGATTAATAAAGATCTATCTATCTGTCTGTCTGTCTATCTGTCTGTCTATCTATCTATCTGTCTGTCTATCTGTCTGTCTGTCTGTCTATCTGTCTATCTATCTGTCTGTCTATCTATCTGTCTGTCTGTCTGTCTGTCTATCTATCTATAAGGTATGAGCTCTAAAGTTTGATAAACTTTCTCTTTTTGTTCCCAGGGCCGACAAAACCCTACAAGATATTGTTTATAAGCTCGTTCCAGGTTTATTCAAAGGTAAGCTTCTGTCTCTGGAGGCTGTGAGACATCTGTACAGTAGAACAACGATACTGGTAGTTAGAACTTTTTCCACGTGTGATGTGATTTCATCTGGAATTAGATGAAATGAAACGGAGGCGAGACTTCTACGCAGCGAACCGTGAGCTGGAGCCAGGGGAAGTGGTGGAGACATTCAACATCGCAGAGGATGAAATCATCAGTTTGTCCATACAGTTCTACGAGAGGAATAAGTGAGTGGCTCATCTGTCTAAATCAGTGGTTCTTAACCTTGTTGGAGGTACTGAACCCCACCACGCTCGAATGCCCATTCACCCAACCCTGCCTTTTCCCTGCAATACCTACATTTCCCCAAACGATGGCGTAGAAAATAATAAAAGCATTTTAGAATTTTATTCCTTATGCATGACTTTTACATGTCATTTATCTTCACACAAACGCTCCATCTATCTGCTACTGACCCAGCCCCCCCTGTTCAATTTGAGGACAATTGTGGCCCGCAAGTGAAAAAGTTCGCCCACACCTGGTCTTAAATGAAGAGGGACGGTGAAACCATTTACCTTTAGCCCTTAACTATAATAACATCAAAACATATTTCACCAAAGATGGAAATTAATACTTGGTATTAATGTAACAGAAAATTATGCTTGATGGATTATAATAAATGTCCGTTTGTCTTATGTGTTTGAACATTTCCTGCAGAAACGAGAAGCAGCGCTCAGAGGTGGACGGTGACAAGGTAAAGCAGAGCTTTCTTTTGAGACACGGACAAGCCCTGGAGTGTCATATACGATCATATAGACTGGTCTTAGAGGGGACATACTATGCAACTTTTCTGCTTATTTAGGACCCATAAAATTCATTTTATTTTTTTCCCAAATTCCATTTTATTTTATTTTTTTCCAAAAATTCAATTCTTTTTGTTTGAATTTTTTGAATTTTTTTGAATTTTCAAATTTTTTCTAATTCAAATTCTGTTTTTTCCCATTTTATTTTTTTGGGAATCCCAATTTTTTTCTTCCTTTTACTCCTGACCTTTTTACTACTGACCAACTCAGTTTTTATTATATATATATATATATACATATATACATCCATCCATTATCCTCCGCTTATCCAGGGCCTGTATACATATATATAGACAATATAAAAAAACACATTTCCTTAAATGCATAACCTTTGCGAACCATTTGCGTAATTAATTTATGCTAGACACAAATGAAAACGGGTTGGTGCACAGAAAATAATAAATAATAGGATATACACGCTCGCATACTATTTGCATCATGAGGAATTCTGACCTTGTAAAACATTTATTTTTTTACACAATTGAACACTCTTCATATACAATCATATATACTGGTCTTAAAGGGCATATATATATTGTGCTTTCCTTTTCTGCTTATTGACCAAAAAAAAGCACACTCACCGCATGTTGTGGCAGCGGAGATACATTGCTCTCACTTATGATTAATGAAGATGGCAGTGATCGGAGCAATTTGTAGTAGTCATAAGTACAAGTAGGGTTGTTGTAGAAAACCCTGAAGGTCCTAACTGCTTTATCTTATAAATAATTCTGTGGTATAATTTAGTCTGCCAGAAGTTTTCATGTCTTTCTCTTTTGTTTGTTTTTTTTGACTGGGTCTCAGGCCAATGGTAAACGCTTCCTCCAGTGTCCAGCAGCCATGTCCGTCATGCACCTAGCAAAGTTCCTTCGGAGCAAGATGGACATTCCCAACAACTACAAGGTAAGGAAATGCAGTACATGCGGAGGCAACATTTAAAACCAAAAATGAGGAAACCAAGGCCGAAACACCGAAAGAAATTATTATGCTGATTATTAGTACCATTGCATTTTTTTGTGTACTTAAATTCAATAAAATCAAGGCACTGCAATTGCATACATTAAGAATAAATAAATAATAAATCGAAAATGTATAAATAAATTGTGATTGATCAGCTGTCACTTTGATGCCCTTGGTCTCCCCAGCAAGACTGCCTCCCAAAAAAATTCAAACCGGGTATTTTTTTTAGGGACAGAGCACCAGGAAAGGACAGCAGGCTTCAGATTATTACTATTATTTATTTTACGGTAATAGTTCTGGTGTCTGGTGTTCATCATCACACTTTCCAGCAGATGGTGCCCTAGGCACCTGCCTTTTTGTCTGTGAAGGTACAGCAGAAGCCAAAAAAACTGGTGAGAAACCTGGGATGTGTGAATTTTTTTCACCACAGGGACTAAAACTATACTGTTGTCCAAGGAAGTCCCAAAGATGTGACCTGGGATTAAAGAACTTTCTTAGACAAATTCACTTACTATGTGCTAAGCGCAATTCCTGGTCCGTCCATCTTCCTGATGTCGTAGGTCACATCCATTTTCTTCAGGCAAATGTAAAAATGTAAGAAGAAAAAAAGTTATCCTGGAAAACTACATCTGCTCAATGTATCTCTCTTCTGTTCAAGTGTGTACATGCAAACACATGCATGTTGCGGTGCATGTTACGAACTCTACTAGCCAATCACATTTTCACTTTTCACTTCACTTTCCAGGTGACTTAGAAGAGAATACTCTGACCTGTCAAATGTAACTTTTGGCTTTGGTCAGAACCGTACTTCAAAGTACTATTAATATATTATATATATTATATATATAATATGTACTATAAGTACTATTTAAGAAGTACTTATCCTGGGAAGGGTATAAGGGGAGGGGCTTCCAATGGATTATGCCACGCTGGACATAAGTGTACTGCTGTAAGGCTTGAATGTTAAGAAGCATCCAGCCACTAGGTGGCAGCAACTCATACAGTGGTTTGTACAGAAAAAAATATACATACATATGTTATCAGGTTCTCTATAGTATATTAATTCGGGGGGGGGGGGCATGACAGAAAATAATAGAGAACCATTGGGTTAGAACATGATTCTAAAGTGTGTGTGTGTGTGTTTGTGTCCGTGTGTGTGTCACAGGTGGAGGTTTTGTATGGGGACGAGCCCTTGAAGGATTACTACACACTAATGGACATCGCCTATTTCTACGAGTGGAGAAGAGTGAGTGATGAAGGACCTTCATATTGTTGGGTTTTTTTTTTTTCCCCAGATTTTTCTTACCGTGTACTCTTCATAAGGATAGAAAGTAACAATCGCCTTACCTTTAAAATAGACTTTTGCTTAGATAAACAAAATAGAACGTTTAATCAACAAAAATACAAATAAGCGCCTGCTGCAGTCCCCTCCGCAAACTCCTCAGGTGTCACAGACCCCCTGTTGATTAGACCTGTAATCACCCAGTCAACTGGTCGGTTTATTGGTGGATACGTTCAAGGTTGACCGAAATTCTAATCGGCTGATTGTTTTTGTTGTTTTATATATATATACATATATATTTATATATATGTATATATATTTACATATATATGTATATTTATATATATGTATATATATATATTTACATATATGTGTATATATATGTATGTATATTTACATATATGTATATATATGTATATATATACATATATGTATTGTGTGTGTGTGTGTGTGTGTGTGTGTATATATAGTGCTCCGCATTAATGAGTACACCCCACCAGACTTATCAGAAAACCTTAAGTATCCTTTCAGAATCAACATTTACTATGGAACAATGCAACGCAAAATGAGGCTACAGGTGTCGGCCAATGAATGCGAGCGTGATTTGCTTCTTTGCTCCTAGAAAAAAAAGGTTATTTACCTAACAAATTCATTCAAGCTCATGTTGCAAAAATGAATACACCCCATTTAAAGTCGTTGGAGAAAAGCCAAACTTAAACCTCTTCTATAAAGATAGATAGATAGATACTACTGAGAATCTAAATGATGGAGGGATAAGACAAAGATCACTGTTGTTGGAAGGTGGTTGAATAGCCAAGTACTGTATGTCTCCTAAACTGTACCCAACTGAACACCTGTGGGGGATTCTGAAGAGGCAATTTGAACGTCATTCTCCATCCAGCATCCAGGCACTAAAAGGAGTTGTTCTTGAAGAATGGAGAAAAAAAAAAGATAGATGTTGCATTATGTTCATGTCATGCCTAGACGACCTGGCGTTGTCCTCAAAAATCACAGTGGTCACACAAAATACTTACACTGAAGAAGCCTCTCGGATGAGAGGTGAAACGTCTTCAAGAAATCTCCTCTGTCCAGTTGCCCTCGATGTAACTTATTTTTAAACTAGAAGTAGTCGTCCGCGTTTCAGGGTGTATTCATTGCTTCTGCTTAAACTGATTTGAGTCAAACTGAAGATTGGATGAGTTAGATTATTATACTTACTCCTATGTTATGGTGTTTAAATAAATGTTCAGTGAAAGTCAACCTTGTGAAAATTTGGGACATTGAGATACTGACTTCTCAAAGGGAGTATACTCATTTATGCTGAGCACTGGATATCGTGTTAATTTCATCAGGAGGAAAGTCTTCAGAACATGAATTATTCATTATTATTAATATTGAATTATTATAACATGACGAAAAACAATTGTCTAAACATTCCTCAACAGTTCTTGTGCTGATATCACTAGTTGACATATTCATATATTTTCGGAAATCATCGGCCATGACATTGCGCAGACGTTGGGCGCTTAAAGCTGCCCACTGTTCACTTTGGTGATGGGTTAAAAGCAGAGGTCCCATTTCATTGTGTGCAGTGGCGCGCTGTGTCACAATGAAGTTCACTTTGTTGTTGTTTGTTAAAATGGCTTAGAAAAACCCGAGATTTTAGAACCTTAGCTCTACATGGACATACTTATGGACAAAGTTGATGATGATGATGTCATCTTCCTTTTCCGCGTAGACTGGGCCCATCCCTCTGCAGTATCTGGTCAAACCCAACCGGAAGCGCAGGAGGCCATCAAAGTCCACGGCTCAGGGCCACTCTGATGGCGTCAACACGAGCCCGGCCTCGGAGACAGACTCCCAGAGCGACAAGGTCCACAGTCCTGTGGCGACCCAGCCAGCCCGTCCCTCCTCACAGTCCAACCCGGCAACTTCCCATAACTCCTCCCCCACCGTTCAAAGCTCCAACGGTACCGCTGTGTCCAACAGTGCTCCACGACACACTCACACCTCCAAACAGGGCGCTAATGCTCGCAAGGTGACTGTCAACGGCACAAGCTCTGGAGCAGGCAAAGAGGAGACGAGGTGCAGCAACAAAAGCAGTTTGCCCCCGGCCACCTAACATGTGACTGCAACATCGGGAGGGAAGTGTTGGAATTTCTCTCTTTCTTTTTTTTTTTTTTTCTTTTTTTTTTGTCTTCTTTCTTTGAAGTCAGTTCAAATTTGTTCTTCTGGACAAACGCGGAGCCCAGATTCCTGTTCTCACCTTCCAACAGCAGAGACTGAACGTGCAGCCAAATGGACACCTGTCTGTGTGTGTGCACGTGTTATGTGTGATAGACTAGAAGGATGCACACATACACAAACTGTACAATGGGTATCAAATGTGAGCATGTGCGCGTACATATGTATAAACTTATCTTTTATACAGATATTGTAATTGGTTTTCTATGTTTATGCAGTGGCTTCCTTTCATTTCTGTTTCACAGCTGTTCATTCGCTTTGGATTTGTTCCCGAAAACAGGTTAACACCAAATATTGGAAACGCCCTAACAGTTTGTCCACTGTTCAGTACCAGGAACTTTCAGTACTAGACAACTTTTTTTTTTTTTTTTTTTTTTGGAACTTATTTCGCAGATTTTTATTTTGAGTGTCCGTCACAACTAGGTAAGTACAGAGTGACTGTCTGAAAAATAAAGGTCCAGGACTCCAGGTCTGATTCCATGGCTGGACTTCCTGGTCAGTTCATTGGTCTTTGAGAAAAAATGTGGCCATTGGTAACCAGCAAAAGAAGAATAGAACCCTAACCCTAATTAGGTATTCTACTTTTTTTTAAATAAAAAATGAACGTGCGTTAGGGATGACCACAAAGTCTTAAGGCCTAAAACTTTTTTGTACTGTTTATTTTTATTTATGTTTTTTGATGAGTGTTTCCACTAAAGGTTTTGGGACTGTTTTTTTAAGGCTTTAAAGCAGGAATCTTCACACACCTACATTCAGATAACCTGTTACCATCAAAAACGGACTTCCCGTTTGAATATTGAATATGAATTCTGGTACTTAAAGTCCTGGTACTAAAATTAGGCTGTTAAATTTGGAACAATCCTGGTACTGCCTGCTGTGTAAATATCCAGTATGAGTTAGCAGCACATTCAGACAAAACTGTCAAAGCACTTTTTTTTTAAATGTCGGATCACAACGTCCAAGCCGAAAAGTATTTTCCAACAAGGAAACAATTCTATATCAACAGTATCAAGCACTACCATGGAGTTAAGTCACAGGACAGGTGCGTCTTCTGTCGGTTCAATAATAATAAACAAGAAGGGATTTTGAACGTTTGGTTGCGTCTGTTGTAGCTCCATTGTCAACATTCCTCTTTGACAAAGTTTGTTGTTTTGCAGCTATATGTGCATGTCAATAAAAATGTTTAAATATAAGGTCTGTCTGATCTGACTCTTCTTGTTTGACTTAATTGAGCTTCTGTTTATTTTATAGGGGACAGTAACGGGCAGGGGCCAGTAACAAAACAAATCAAACATAAAAAATAATCAAGATTATTAATGTATTAGGTGAAAGGATTCAGACAACAAATACAGTTGAATTTTAAAACTATTTAAAACGTACGTATTTTCTGGACTATAAGTCCCTCTGGAGTATAAGTCTCACCAGACATAAAATGAATAATGAGGGAAAAAAAAACATAGAAGTTGCTCTAAAGTAGGGTGCACTTGTACCCTCTAGCAGTTGACTGTGTGAAAATAAAAATTTTCAGTGGTACAGGAGTAGCAGATACTGGTACACAAGCCTCTGATTGGATGGCTTTGTCGAAGGCATTCCTCTCTGATGAGGATGGTCTTGTCCTTCTTCTTGGAGTCTGACTCCAAGAAGAAGGACAAGACTCACCGATTACCCTGACCTTTGTCACTCAGATATAATCCATATCTTAACATCATTATGTCTATAGAAACCATCCGTAATGTGCAGAAATGTAATATAACGAGTCATTATAAGCTAGATAACTCACAGGGACGCAGGCACTCACGTACGACTTATATATTAAAATATATAATTTCACGTGTCGTTATTTTCACACTGACAGCCGCTAGAGGGCACTCTAGGAAATAAGGTCTGGAAAATATGGCATATGGTACCGAAAGCAGCGCAACCAGGGAAAAGGTGAGATGGGCAAGAATGGATGAAAAGAACAAATAAATAAATATTACCAGGCCTATATTGGTATTGGTTGATATCGGGTTTATAAGGGTTTATATTGGACATCCCTAGCTCAAGCGTTTTTATCGTTTTCTACGCCAACCCCGAGCCTATGTTTGCTCATGGCTGGTCTTGGTGGTCAACCCACCAAGTCAATTTGTGTGGACCGCGGAAGCTTAAAAAGTGAAAAAGGTTTGTTTGTCACACAGCAAGGTACAATATTTGTAACTTCAAAAAAATAATAATCTATTGCAGAAGCATTATAGAGACTATAGAGTCTTTCAGTTATGACAGGCCCTTCAAGAGGAAGAGAAAATTCGATACGGTTGCATAGATAAAGAAAATATTGAGATTTTGACATTTATTTGCTTCGCTGCACCACTCTTGTAATGGCTTCCTGTCACATAGAGGGGCCTGTTTCCCCCACTTTGGGAACCACTGCCCCCCCATAGAATGTATGGTTTCCACATCATGTGGCCATTTACACTATTTTACACAACAGAAAATCCACAGTGAGTCCATGCGGCGTTCTTTTATAACTGTTAACGAGAGCAATCACACATTTATATCAGCATGTTATTAAGGTGTGTACCATCGAACATAATAGTATCTAATCTACAACACGAGAGCTGCCAACAATCATCGAATGGCTAGTCAGTATTTATTCAGGGTACACTTGATGGTCAATCTTCTTCTTGTTGAAACGTGAGAGAATAACATGTTTTTCGAAAGGTAGTTCTTCACAATGTTATTGAAACGTGAGAGAATAACATGTTTTTCAAAAGGTAGTTATGGTCAGCTTTTTTTTTAAAAAAAAAATGTCTCCAGAAAAAACAAAACAAAACAAAAAAGACAGATAAGGCCTGCAAGTTTGAACCATTGAACCAAATATTATCACAGAATTTAATAATTCACAACATCAATACCGTATTTTCCGGACTATAAGCCGCTACATTTTTCCTATGCTTTGAACCATTCGGCTTATACAAAGATGCGGCTTTTCTATGGATTTTTTTTTTCCAGCCGCTAGGGGGCATTCTAGCAGGAATTGCAAAAACAAGACTGGGGAAGTCAGAGCAAAGAAGAACACGCTAGTTTGGATATAGGCAGCTTATAGTCTGGTGCAGCTTATATATATGTTTGTTTGTTTGGTTTTTTTTTTTAATAAGTGGGTGCGACTTATATTCAGGTGTGCTCTACAGTCCGGAAAAATACGGTAGTTTGATTTTTCGAACAACCCGAAGCTGAAAAAAATGAACAAACTTTGTGAATTGATGTATAAATAAAGTCATGTACGCAACCATAAAACAACAAAGGACAGCAGACATGAAAGAATTGATGCTGTTGGACTGTGTGAGGTAGAAAATGAATCATGATCAGTTGAACAATTAGCTCTTACGCTGTACGCCGATGACAGCATAACATTTCCTCGCATCTTTATTACTAACCAAAAGCACAATCCTGCTAAACATGGTGGATTAAATCGACCGAAACATATGTATGTATGTATATATATATATTACGTCAGTCTGTTCCTTACAGTACAGAGATTAATAAATCGATGACCCACTTTTCAATTAAAAACTACACCCGTATACAGTATATATTCCGTATCTAGTAAAAAAGGAAAATCCCTGATACCCGACCAAAAAAAAAAATCAAAAAATCAAAACATTTCTCTCCATCACTCAGACTTCAAACAACTTCATTTAAAGAAGCTTTTCACTTTTTTTACGACGTCCCGGTAGATGACCATCAAGTGGGAGTTGTCACAGTACGGTGCATTTTTGGTTTGTTTGCAGGCACACAAAAAGACTGTTCTGTCTTTGTCTGCTGTGAAACGCAGTGGTGGGATGTTGGGGGCCTTGGACTTGTGAGCTCCATCGCAAAAAGGCTGACATAAGAAAAAAAAAACAAAAATACTGTGAACATTTCACATAATCACAGAGTTATAACCTGGAAGTATATCAGAGCAAATCTACTGGGATCTATTAATCATCATATTACTGTATTTTCCGGACTATAAGCCGCTACTTTTTTCCACACGCTTTAAACACTGCAGCTTAAACAATGACGCGGCTAATTTATGGATTTTTATGGGCTAACGAAGTTCATACCGTTGGGATCAATGACTTTTCTGGTCGGCTACTGTGTTATACTAGTAGCGTATGTCTGTCTGTGAATGGCTGTCGGGGGTGCTCCGAGAGTATGGGGTCGGGGGCCCATTGTCGCATTGCCGGCAGTAAGTCGGACCTGTTCCCGGTGCATGTTGGACTACGGCAGGGCTGCCCTTTGTCACCGGTTCTGTTCATTATCTTTATGGACAGAATTTCCATA